TATTCCCCTTTTGTATGTCAAGTAAATTTTTATTGTACTTGAGGCTTCTATATTTTATTCAATTTTTGTGCCTTGAGAATTTCGCTTGAACTTCCCCTTTCTGGCGTGGAACTTCAGATGGAGTGATTTGACGCATGCAAAGGAGTGTTTCCTCTGACCTTAAAAGGTTATGCATAAATCTTTTAAGGAGGATAGTCGAGTCTGGAACAAACACATCGTGGAGAGTAGAGCCACCTTCACTTTGATGTTCGTTCATTGTATTTTTAGAAGCTCATTTAAGACTGTCGACACGGTTAGCTGCGTGAATCAAGAGCTGACGTGACGGCCGACACTGTTAGTCAGAAGACTCGAATGAGCTAAGCGTTCATTATTCAGTAGTGATCGTTGGGATTGAGATTATTGCCGGCTGAAGAACTGATCCTCGTTGCTTTTGAGAAGTTTTTCCCGATCCCATAACTTAGTTTGTTTAGTGGTTATTGTTTTGTTTTGATTAGACAAGGTAGTGGACTTGGAACTCGAGCATGCCCCTTGCGATATTTGTGACTTTTGAAACCTTTGAAATGGTGAAACGACTAGAATATATATATTGGACCTAAAATCCTTGTTAATTTGTAAAACCATTTCTTTTGGTGATCTGAGATCGAAACCTCCTTATGAAACCTTGAACCGAATGTCGGCTCTGGCTGGGTGTAGCCACGCGAAGTGGTGGCCGAGCACGCACGACGGTGCTGAGAGACGGGAGGCTTGCGCGCGGCCGACCGTTGACTCGCATGCGAACTGCAGCCGCCATCACCGTACGCACGAACTCCCCAGACCAGCGTATACGGCCAACCATCGATATTTTTCCTGAACCGTTGAAACCGTTTCATGCTGGAATACTTGGTTATCCTTTTGAACCCCTTTTCGGTCAAACCTTGAACCAAGAGCTCCAAGTTCCACTAAATGTGTGTAAATCCTTAATCGATGATTTTGGATTAAGGAGAGTAGTCAGTGAGTACTTATGCTTTATTTGAGAGTTTCTCGAGTAGGCAATTTGGGAATTTCGTATTGCTATTGGTCAATCCTTATGTTTGCACATAAGGGTTGCGTTCGACGCGTGGAGTCAATATTGTGTGGGTATGAGCATCTGGGATGTTGTATACCGTGTTATAGTCTCTGATGGAGACACACGGTCCGTGATAAATCGTGAGCAAGTTATCAGTATGACTCGGGCACGAGACTGAAACTTAGCGTCACGCGTCCACCTTGTTGGTGAGATAGTCGGAGTACGCTGGCAATACACCGAACGACCTGTTGAGGTCTTGTGTGTTGTTAGGTAAGGAGTTAATTGTTGGTACGCATGAGTATAGGCCAAGTCGATCTGGGTCCCTTGCAAGAAGATGTGCGCCTGAGCTCGGGCAGGACTGATCACCCTCCCATGCAATAAGGCAAACATATGAGCATAGGACGAGTCGGATTGAGTCCTGTACGTGAGCGTATGCTTTTTGAGTATGTCGTTTCCTTTGGATGTGTGTTTTTTCGTATTTCCGAGGACGGAAATATTTTAAGGAGGATAGATTGTAACGCCCC